CATACCTAAGATTTTTTACTTTTGAATCCATGCCCCAATCATGTTTTCTCAAGTTCACAAGATACTGTATACCTATTTCTAAATTAGCAATTTTGAGTATTAGCATATACATTCACTTATTCTCTTTGACATAAAATACAATTAATTGTGTTGCATATTTTTATGTGTAAAACCATTGAATAAGTTTATGTCTCTCAAATTGCAGTCCCACTTGCTGTTTAAAGTCTTCAGTATGCCATCAATCTCATGGCTTGCAAGAAGTGACATCATTTTCTTGGAGGGAAAGAAAAAAGTAAGTGGCCATAAACTTTTCTCTCCTTATTTTTAGAAGACTTAAAAATGAATAGTGTAACACATAACACTCTATACCCCATTGCAAAGATTCAAAGGCTATTCTTGAGTTTGGGGCCTGAGTTTGACCAGTGGATTTTCTCCCTCTGATAAGAATAATATAAAGAATAATTGAATTTATTCAATTTTTCTTAGCAAACCTGCTCAGGCCAAAATACACCATGACCAAGATGCAACATTGCAGAGATTACAGTTGCTTGCATATTTAATTGACATTTCAAATGATTCAAATAACAAACTCAGTCCTTGTCAAATGAGTCTTGAGGATGTTTAGACAGAGCTTAACCGAAACATGTACACTCTTAGAAAAAAGGGTTCATTGGGGTTCTATATATGAAACATAGGGTTCTTTACTCAACTCCAAAGAACCTTTTATGCTAAAAAAAGGTTCTATGATGACAAGAAAGAACCCTTTTGGCACAAAGGTTCTTTATTCATTCATATATTACATTATTCTGCAACATTTTGTAGTTGTAATTAAATTATTGTTTATTAAACTGTTGTAGTAACTTAATATCACATTTTAATCATGCTGATTTTGGGAGGAGAAAAGCTGAAATGGCACTCTTCGCGTGATATTGATTAACTACATAAAACGATATAAATATATAAATTTTCTAACCCCAATATCTTGAATTTTGTGATCATTCACATGCATTCATAAATACATTTTAGGGTCTTGATGTTTGTCAGTAATATGAAATATTTAATCCTGATAGAACCTTTAGAACCTTTCAAGGTTCTATATAGAACCTTTTCTTAAGAGTGTATTTTCGAGTAGGCCTAAAGTGGACTAAATTTGAATTTAAAGTCACACTGACATTTTACTGCCATTTGATTTTATTATTATAATTATTATTTACTGCTTTAAGATAAAAAAATGGACTATATGCATGACAAAAACTACAGTGACAAAGAAAAAAACTTTTTTAATAAAGATTAAAATCATTATATCTCTTTTTGATGTGTGAAAACGAGAGAGAGAGAGAGAGAGAGAGAGAGAGAGAGAGAGAGAGAGAGAGAGAGAGAGAATGTGTTATTTTTAAAACAGCCAAAGTTCACAGAAAGATAGGTAAGTCAAAAAAAAAATGTTGTAAAGAAGTGATGTGGACATGAGCAGCGGCTCTCTTTTGCCAAAGTGTATTATATTACAGTCTAAATTATTTGTTTACTGCAAGCGTGACTATCTCAGTCTTTGTCTATTTGTTTATTTGACAGGAATTATACAGAATAACATAATTTCATCAGATTTCAGGCAACACAGGCTTGTTTACAGTGATGTTATTTTATACATATATATATATATATATTTTAATCCAACAATACATTTCAGTTTTCACATGTAATGGATTTGATAGCTGACTGAAAAGCCAATTCATCTAGAATAAAAAAATACACTTTGCAAAAAAGAGAATAGCTGGATAGCATCTTATGTAATAATGGCATTCTGTATCATTCTTGACAAATAAATACATATATAATACATATAATAGATATATAGGCCTATAACAAGTAGCTCTGTAAAGCATCTTATATAAATGTATTCTGCAATGAAATACACACACACAGAGAGAGAGAGAGAGAGAGAGAGAGAGAGAGAGAGAGAGAGAGAGAGAGAGAGAGAGAGAAAATATTGTGATGGGTTAAATGACTTAGGCATAGATCATTTCCACTCATTAACGATATAAAACTATCAAAAGATGTCTCTTATGTATTACTTTCATCCAGTATACAGTTCCTATCTCTGTCTCCGCGTGTCGCTGTTGGTCAGCAAATCACACACACACTTCATTTAAAGGGATGTTGCCATATTCCAGAATCCTGGTACTGAGAAGAACAGCATCCTTTTCAGTGGGACCGTTTTTAAATGATTACAGGGATAAAAAAAGAAAGAAAAAAGCAGACTGAACACGAGAGGCATTTTAAGGAGCAGCACAACTTGTAACTCCATCTGACTGATCTTATCTGAGGGATGCAGTGTGTTTTGCTGGGATTGATGAAGCCTGCTGGACGGTGGGTTCTGCTTCTCTTTGTACTTTGGGCGACATGGGAAACGGCTTTGTCTGTGACGCGCTATTCTATACCGGAGGAGATGGAGCGCGGGTCTGTCGTTGCAAATCTGGCTGCTGATTTGGGGCTGGATGTTAGTGAACTGGCACAGCGAGAGGTAAAACTTGATATTTTCCATAACAAAAAATATCTTGATGTTAATAAAAGGACTGGCGAGCTATTTATTGTTGAGAAAATGGACAGGGAAACTCTGTGCCCAACAAAAACAATAACGTGCTTCTTAAAATTAGACCTAATAATTGAAAGCCCATTGCGTATGTTCAATATTGAATTGGGCATCACAGACATTAACGATAACGCTCCTCATTTCCGAAGAGACAGGATTGAATTAGATGTGTCAGAGTCCGCGTCACCGGGAGAAAGATTCTCCTTGCCCAATGCGTTTGACCCAGACGTTGGTGCCAATACAGTCAAGACCTATAAATTAAGTGAAAGTGAACATTTCACTGTTGATATACATTCTGGAAGCGATGGTACAAAATATGTCGATTTGGTCCTAAAGAAGGCTTTAGACAGAGAAGAGAAGGCTGTTCATAATCTGGTTCTCACTGCAATTGATGGCGGAGTCCCTGCGCGCTCTGGCACGGCTAATATCATTGTGCGCGTGCAAGATACAAATGACAACGCCCCTCAGTTTGATCAGGCAGTTTACTCTCTGAATATGAGCGAAAATTCTCCAGCTGGCACTGTTGTTATTAAATTAAACGCTTCTGATGCTGATGAAGGCCCAAACGCTGACCTTACATACTCATTTACGCTTTATACATCTGAAAAAACGCAGGAGATGTTCTCGTTGAATTCAAATACTGGCGAAATAGCAGTTAAGAGCACAATTGATTATGAAGATATGAAAATATTTGAAATGTTCATTGAGGCTAAAGACAATGGGCCCGTTCCGCTCTCCGGTCAATGTAGAGTGACTGTGTACGTTAAAGATATGAACGATAACTACCCCGAGATAACAATAAAATCGCTTAAGAACACCGTGGACGAAAACATCCCAGTCGGCTCTGTTATTGCTCTAGTGGGTGTTAGTGACAGAGACACTGAAGATAACGGTAAGGTACATCTTACAATGAACAAGTCCTTACCGTTTATTTTAAACAAGTCATCTGAATTCCTGTACGAGTTATTGGTGTCAGAAACGTTAGATCGTGAAAAGGTCCCAGAATATGAGATCATGCTGGTTGTGACCGATGAAGGGAATCCTCCGTTATCTGATAATGAAACTATAACGGTGCATTTACTAGATGTCAACGATAACGCACCGCAATTCCCGCAGACATTCTACACGATCCCTGTTATGGAGAATAACGCGCCTGGAGCTTCACTGAGCTCTTTAACTGCTATAGACCCAGATCTCCATGAAAACCAGTATCTAGTTTATTTTATAATAGAGAAGGAAATAGTGAACACCTCCATGTCTATGCTGTTCTCCATTAACCCAGAGAACGGTAATCTTTACGCGCTAAAGACCTTTGACTATGAGATGGAGAAGGAGTTTCTTTTCCACATCGAGGCCAGAGACTCTGGTGTTCCTCCGCTCAGCAGTAACGTGACCGTTCACATTATTATCATGGATCAGAACGACAACACGCCGCTTATAGTGTCTCCATGGCGCGCGCACGGCTCGGAAGTGAAGGAAAAGATCCCGAGATCCACAGATAAAGGAACTCTGATAGCCAAAGTCATCGCCATAGACTCTGACTCAGTGCACAACTCTCGGATCACGTACCAGTTCCTCCAGAACACCGACGCCACGTTATTCAGCTTGGATCAATACAACGGAGAGATCCGGACCATGAGAATGTTCAGTTACAGAGACTCGCGAGACCAGCGGCTGGTGGTGATCGCCAAAGACAACGGAGAGCCCGCGCTCTCTGCTACAGTCACCATCAAACTGTCCACGGTGGAGACCGCCCTCAAAACCTATACTGAGGTGCCTTTGGAGTATGACATCTTCTCAGATCTAAACCTGTATCTGGTGATCGGCCTGGGCTCTGTCTCGTTTCTTTTACTCATCACTATACTGGTGACCATCGTGCTGAAGTGTCAGAAAGCGAAGCCCAGCAAAGCGGCTCCTCCGTGCAGGAACAGTGTGATCAGCGAGAGGAACTCGACCATCGCGGACTCCACTCTGGTCTCCAACGATGCCTACTGGTACAGTTTATTTCTAGCAGAAACGAGGAAAGGAAAGCTGGTGGTCAGACAGCCTGCGCCAAAGGGAGCGAGATACATCGTGTCCAGTTTACCGAGGAGCACAGGAGTGACCGAGACCAGCGACTCAGCCGCTTCTACTCTACAGGTAAGACAATAAATATTATAATAATATTGTAACTGAAAATATAAGCATGCTATTTAATTCTAAATGGCAAAACAAATATTGTATGACTGACACATTATTTAATGCCCACAAACAAAATTCCATATATTGTCAAATAAATCAGCTGAGTTGGCTTTATATTAAACGTGCTGTTTTTACATCGAGCACAAAGTGTCGCTGTTGTCTAGCAATAGACAAGATGGGAATGACTTACTAGTCGCCATAATGTAACGTCACAGTCTGCAGCTTTAGTGGGTTATCATCTCTCCTTCCTCTCTTTGTACGCCTCTTTGTTCCTCTGCGTCCTTCATTTACGATTTCGTTTACGTGGTTGGATAATACTGGACTTGTATATTGAATAAAAATGGCAGCATGCATGGACACACAAAAATGGAAAAGGTACGTTTTGTTATTCCAGATCATCTTTTCCGTATTGAACTCGGGATTTGCTGTTACTCACTACTCTATTCCCGAGGAAATGGAGGTAGGATCTGTTGTTGCAAATTTAGCCGCCGATCTTCATTTGGATGTACAGAGTCTGACCAAACGCAAGATGCGCTTAGATGTGATAGCAAATAAAAAATATCTGGATATAAATAAAGAAACAGGGGAGCTGTTTATCGTCGAAAGAATAGACCGAGAATATCTCTGCCCATCCAAAACAAATTCTTGTTTTCTGAAGCTGGATGCTACAATCGAAAACCCAGTTAGAATGTTTAATATTGAATTAGAAATATTAGATATCAACGACAATGAACCCCACTTTCGACGAGATGTCATGCATTTAGACATTTCAGAATCGACACCAGCCGGAGAGCGTTTCTCCCTCAACAATGCAGTGGACGCCGACATTGGGTCTAATTCAATTAAGACTTACTATCTTAGTGAGAGCGAGCATTTTACTATAGAAATACAGTCTGGTCGAGATGGATCTAAACTTGCTGATTTGGTGCTGAAAAAGGCATTAGATCGCGAAGAGAAAGCAGTTCATAATCTGATCCTCACTGCTGTGGATGGAGGAGTCCCCGCGCGCTCCGGCACCGCTAACATTATTGTGCGCGTTCTGGACACTAATGACAACGCCCCTCAGTTCGATAAAGACAGTTATACTGTGCATTTAAGTGAAAATTTGCCAATAGAAAGTCTTGTTGTTAAGCTCAACGCAACAGATTTAGATGAAGGGCAAAATTCTGAAATAATATACACATTTAGTTTATATACATCTGAGAAAACACAAGATACGTTTAAATTGAATTCAGAAACGGGTGAAATTCGAGTTAAAGAGATTATTAATTATGAAGATTTCAAAATCTATGATATGGAGATAATAGCAACAGATAAAGCAGCTAATAGTCTCTCTGGGAAGTGTAAAGTAAAGATATTAATTACAGATATGAATGATAATCATCCTGAAATTTCTATAAAGTCATTCACAAGTCCAGTTAAAGAAGATGTACCTGTAAATACAGTAATTGCAGTTGTTAGTGTGAGTGATAAAGACTCTGGCGAAAATGGACAGGTAGATATTCATTTTTCTGATGATTTACCTTTTGCGCTTAAAGAATCATCTGATAATTATTATGAATTATTAATTTCAGAACCGTTAGACCGTGAAAAGGTTGCAGAATATGACATCACTATTACCGTCACTGACAGGGGCAACCCGCCGTTATCTGATAATGAAACTATAACTTTAGAGCTACTGGACGTTAATGACAATGTTCCTCAGTTCCCGCAGACATTCTACACGATCCCTGTTATGGAGAATAACGCGCCTGGAGCTTCACTGAGCTCTTTAACTGCGATAGACCCAGATCTCCATGAAAACCAGTATCTAGTGTATTTTATAATAGAGAAGGAAATAGTGAACACCTCCATGTCCATGCTGTTCTCCATTAACCCAGAGAACGGCAATCTTTACGCGCTAAAGACCTTTGACTATGAGATGGAGAAGGAGTTTCTTTTCCACATCGAGGCCAGAGACTCTGGTGTTCCTCCGCTCAGCAGTAACGTGACCGTTCACATTATTATCATGGACCAGAACGACAACACACCGCTTATAGTGTCTCCATGGCGCGCGCACGGCTCGGAAGTGAAGGAAAGGATCCCGAGATCCACAGATAAAGGAACTCTGATAGCCAAAGTCATCGCCATAGACTCTGACTCAGTGCACAACTCTCGGATCACGTACCAGTTCCTCCAGAACACCGACGCCACGTTATTCAGCTTGGATCAATACAACGGAGAGATCCGGACCATGAGAATGTTCAGTTACAGAGACTCGCGAGACCAGCGGCTGGTGGTGATCGCCAAAGACAACGGAGAGCCCGCGCTCTCTGCTACAGTCACCATCAAACTGTCCACGGTGGAGACCGCCCTCAAAACCTATACTGAGGTGCCTTTGGAGTATGACATCTTCTCAGATCTAAACCTGTATCTGGTGATCGGCCTGGGCTCGGTCTCGTTTCTTTTACTCATCACTATACTGGTGACCATCGTGCTGAAGTGTCAGAAAGCGAAGCCCAGCAAAGCGGCTCCTCCGTGCAGGAACAGTGTGATCAGCGAGAGGAACTCGACCATCGCGGACTCCACTCTGGTCTCCAACGATGCCTACTGGTACAGTTTATTTCTAGCAGAGACGAGGAAAGGAAAGCTGGTGGTCAGACAGCCTGCGCCAAAGGGAGCGAGATACATCGTGTCCAGTTTACCGAGGAGCACAGGAGTGACCGAGACCAGCGACTCAGCCGCTTCTACTCTACAGGTAAGACAATACACTTGAATGATCAAAGAGAGATTTACATGACGTTTCACGATCAATTTTCTCTCAGTTTTTTTTAGAGAAGAGGTGGTGTGTGATCCCCTGTACAGTATTATTCTTATAGGCTATTTTTCTCTCTCGTATTTTAATTCATTTAATTTCTTCTCATTTATTTTTTTTTACAAATTTTGTTTTGTATTTTTATGTGCTATTTTGAGGCTTATGATCACACATTTTCGCGGGAATCTAAAACAGAAAAATCATAATAAAATAGAAATAACGCGCAAAATAAAAGAATGCTTCATGTAAAAAAGCTATTCTCTTCTTGCTGTGTATGTTCAACCCAAACTCACTGAGCGTCGCTGTTCTCTAAGAAAACGCTTTTGGTCATATTTTTCACAATCGCCATGACAGATTTCCCACACAAAGGAGCGCGCCATGACAAGAGCTTCGTAGTCTGCCCTGTTCGTTTCCCGATCATTTCATTATCACGAGGAATACAAATATTTCAAACGCTGCATAATGGAGGGATTAGTAAAGTCACAGTTGTGGAGGTATGTAATGGTCCTTCTGTTTTTCTCCGCTATTTTGGACACCGCGTCCTCTGTTACGCACTATTCTATCCCAGAAGAAATGGAGGAAGGCTCTGTTGTGGCTAATTTAGCCTCAGATTTGGATCTGGATGTGGAAACACTGAGCAAACGAAAAATGCGGCTTGACATTATATCAAACAAAAAATATCTCGATGTCAATAAAGAAACAGGAGAGCTCTACATTTTAGAAAAGATGGATAGAGAATATCTCTGTATATCAAAAACAGCAACAACATGTTTTATTAAAATGGAAGTCACACTCGAGAATCCTGTGCGCATTTTTAACATTGAAATTGAAATTGTGGATATAAATGATAATGCTCCCCAGTTTCGCAGAGATACGATCCATCTGGATATTTCAGAATCTACAGGAGCCGGAGAGAGATTCTCGCTCAGTAATGCGGTGGATCCTGATATCGGCTCGAATTCGATAAAAACGTATTATTTGAGTGAGAGCGAACATTTTGACATTCAATTACAAACAGGGAGGGACGGATCAAAATTTGCTGATTTGATCCTAAAAAAGCCTCTGGACAGAGAAGAACAAGCTTCACATAATCTGATCCTCACTGCTGTGGATGGAGGAGTCCCCGCGCGCTCCGGCACGGCTAGCATTATTGTGCGCGTTCTGGACACTAATGACAACGCCCCTCAGTTCGATAAAGACAGTTATACTATAAATCTAACAGAAAACTCGCCCACTGGAAGCCTTGTAGTGAAATTAAACGCCACAGATAAAGACGAGGGCTCAAATTCAGATTTACTTTACTCTTTTAGTTTGTATACATCAGAGAAAACGCAGCAAACATTCAGTCTGAATCCTAACAATGGGGAAATCAGAGTGAAAGAAATGATTAATTATGAGGATTTCAGGATCTATGATATGGAAATTATAGCAACAGATAAAGCAGCTAATAGTCTCTCTGGAAAATGTAAAGTAAAGATTTTAGTGACGGATATGAATGACAATCATCCTGAAATTTCTATAAAGTCATTCACAAGTCCAGTTAAAGAAGATGTACCTGTAAATACAGTAATTGCAGTTGTTAGTGTGAGTGATAAAGACTCTGGAGAAAATGGACAGGTAGATATTCATATTTCTGATGATTTACCTTTTGCGCTTAAAGAATCATCTGATAATTATTATGAATTATTAATTTCAGAACCGTTAGACCGTGAAAAGATTGCAGAATATGACATCACTATAACCGTCACTGACAGGGGCAACCCGCCGTTATCTGATAATGAAACTATAACTTTAGAGCTACTGGACGTTAATGACAATGTTCCTCAGTTCCCGCAGACATTCTACACGATCCCTGTTATGGAGAATAACGCGCCTGGAGCTTCACTGAGCTCTTTAACTGCTATAGACCCAGATCTCCATGAAAACCAGTATCTAGTGTATTTTATAATAGAGAAGGAAATAGTGAACACCTCCATGTCCATGCTGTTCTCCATTAACCCAGAGAACGGTAATCTTTACGCGCTAAAGACCTTTGACTATGAGATGGAGAAGGAGTTTCTTTTCCACATCGAGGCCAGAGACTCTGGTGTTCCTCCGCTCAGCAGTAACGTGACCGTTCACATTATTATCATGGACCAGAACGACAACACGCCGCTTATAGTGTCTCCATGGCGCGCGCACGGCTCGGAAGTGAAGGAAAAGATCCCGAGATCCACAGATAAAGGAACTCTAATAGCCAAAGTCATCGCCATAGACTCTGACTCAGTGCACAACTCTCGGATCACGTACCAGTTCCTCCAGAACACCGACGCCACGTTATTCAGCTTGGATCAATACAACGGAGAGATCCGGACCATGAGAATGTTCAGTTACAGAGACTCGCGAGACCAGCGGCTGGTGGTGATCGCCAAAGACAACGGAGAGCCCGCGCTCTCTGCTACAGTCACCATCAAACTGTCCACGGTGGAGACCGCCCTCAAAACCTATACTGAGGTGCCTTTGGAGTATGACATCTTCTCAGATCTAAACCTGTATCTGGTGATCGGCCTGGGCTCTGTCTCGTTTCTTTTACTCATCACTATACTGGTGACCATCGTGCTGAAGTGTCAGAAAGCGAAGCCCAGCAAAGCGGCTCCTCCGTGCAGGAACAGTGTGATCAGCGAGAGGAACTCGACCATCGCGGACTCCACTCTGGTCTCCAACGATGCCTACTGGTACAGTTTATTTCTAGCAGAGACGAGGAAAGGAAAGCTGGTGGTCAGACAGCCTGCGCCAAAGGGAGCGAGATACATCGTGTCCAGTTTACCGAGGAGCACAGGAGTGACCGAGACCAGCGACTCAGCCGCTTCTACTCTACAGGTAGGCCTATATATACATTTCCTCTGTATTTAGTTGTAATTTTTCGCGTTGTTACTGGCATGGTAAGAAGGTAAAAAGTTTTTTTTTTTCCAACTGTTTTTATTTATTTATTTATTTTAACATTTGCAATTACGATTTTATTTTATACAATGGACTCTGGATGTTTTGCATTTACAGACAACCGTCTAAATAGTTTTAGAGTTATTTAATATGCATTTTATGTTTAAAGTGCTTCTCTACAACGTAATATACATTTTTAAAGTCGATTATTCCTTCATAGATTCGAGTCGTTCCGGTTTGCATCAATGTGTACTTCGCTCCTTTGTGCGCAGAGAGTCGCTGTTCACCATTAAAACATATCTCTGGCTATGTAACATTTGTCGCCATGACAGTTTATTGTGCAGAGAACACTGCAGCGAATGCTCAGTATACAATCTGTCGTTCCATTTAAGGCTGGACATTTCATTCATCATTTTTGTCCATTTCACAGCGCTAAGGCTGTTTTAAAGAAAGGTTGCGTTTTGAACTGATATTTGGCATCTAAGATAATACTGCACCGAGCTCACAAACTATGGATTCTATTGCGAGAGCCCCGAGACGGATTTCAAGGTACGTTTGGGTGTTTATTCTTTTCTTCGCATTCTTTAAGACCGTGTCTACAGTAACTCACTATTCTATCCCCGAGGAGATGGAGGAAGGATCCGTTGTTGCAAATCTGGCAGCTGATCTTGGGCTGGATGTTAAAACGTTAAATAGGCGAAAGATGCGTTTGGACACGATTGTATCCAAAAAATATCTTGACATTAACAAAGAAACCGGAGAGCTCTATGTCGTGCAGAAGATAGACAGAGAACATCTCTGCAATTCCAAATCAATCTGCTTTCTAAAGCTAGATGCTACGATAGAAAATCCAATTCGAATGTTTAACATCGAAATAGAAATAACGGATATCAATGATAATGCTCCATATTTTAGGAGAGACACAATGCACTTGGATATATCAGAGTCTACTTCAACTGGGGAGAGGTTTTCTTTGAACAATGCTTTCGATGCAGATATCGGAAGCAATTCCGTGAATTCATATTACTTAAGTGAGAGTGCTCATTTCAACATCGAAATACAGACAGGAAGGGATGGATCGAAATTTGCTGATTTAATTTTGAAGAAAGCTTTGGACCGTGAAGAGCAAACAGTTCATAATCTGATCCTCACTGCTGTGGATGGAGGAGTCCCCGCGCGCTCTGGCACGGCTAGCATTATTGTGCGCGTTCTGGACACTAATGACAACGCCCCTCAGTTCGATAAAGACAGTTATACTATAAATCTAACAGAAAACTCGCCCACTGGAAGCCTTGTAGTGAAATTAAACGCCACAGATAAAGACGAGGGCTCAAATTCAGATTTACTTTACTCTTTTAGTTTGTATACATCAGAGAAAACGCAGCAAACATTCAGTCTGAATCCTAACAATGGGGAAATCAGAGTGAAAGAAATGATTAATTATGAGGATTTCAGAATCTATGATATGGAAATTATTGCAACAGATAAAGCAGCTAATAGTCTCTCTGGAAAGTGTAAAGTAAAGATTTTAATCACAGATATGAATGACAATCATCCTGAAATTTCTATAAAGTCATTCACAAGTCCAGTTAAAGAAGATGTACCTGTAAATACAGTAATTGCAGTTGTTAGTGTGAGTGATAAAGACTCTGGAGAAAATGGACAGGTAGATATTCATATTTCTGATGATTTACCTTTTGCGCTTAAAGAATCATCTGATAATTATTATGAATTATTAATTTCAGAACCGTTAGACCGTGAAAAGGTTGCAGAATATGACATCACTATAACCGTCACTGACAGGGGCAACCCGCCGTTATCTGATAATGAAACTATAACTTTAGAGCTACTGGACGTTAATGACAATGTTCCTCAGTTCCCGCAGACATTCTACACGATCCCTGTTATGGAGAATAACGCGCCTGGAGCTTCACTGAGCTCTTTAACTGCGATAGACCCAGATCTCCATGAAAACCAGTATCTAGTGTATTTCATAATAGAGAAGGAAATAGTGAACACCTCCATGTCCATGCTGTTCTCCATTAACCCAGAGAACGGTAATCTTTACGCGCTAAAGACCTTTGACTATGAGATGGAGAAGGAGTTTCTTTTCCACATCGAGGCCAGAGACTCTGGTGTTCCTCCGCTCAGCAGTAACGTGACCGTTCACATTATTATCATGGATCAGAACGACAACACACCGCTTATAGTGTCTCCATGGCGCGCGCACGGCTCGGAAGTGAAGGAAAAGATCCCGAGATCCACAGATAAAGGAACTCTGATAGCCAAAGTCATCGCCATAGACTCTGACTCAGTGCACAACTCTCGGATCACGTACCAGTTCCTCCAGAACACCGACGCCACGTTATTCAGCTTGGATCAATACAACGGAGAGATCCGGACCATGAGAATGTTCAGTTACAGAGACTCGCGAGACCAGCGGCTGGTGGTGATCGCCAAAGACAACGGAGAGCCCGCGCTCTCTGCTACAGTCACCATCAAACTGTCCACGGTGGAGACCGCCCTCAAAACCTATACTGAGGTGCCTTTGGAGTATGACATCTTCTCAGATCTAAACCTGTATCTGGTGATCGGCCTGGGCTCTGTCTCGTTTCTTTTACTCATCACTATACTGGTGACCATCGTGCTGAAGTGTCAGAAAGCGAAGCCCAGCAAAGCGGCTCCTCCGTGCAGGAACAGTGTGATCAGCGAGAGGAACTCGACCATCGCGGACTCCACTCTGGTCTCCAACGATGCCTACTGGTACAGTTTATTTCTAGCAGAGACGAGGAAAGGAAAGCTGGTGGTCAGACAGCCTGCGCCAAAGGGAGCGAGATACATCGTGTCCAGTTTACCGAGGAGCACAGGAGTGACCGAGACCAGCGACTCAGCCGCTTCTACTCTACAGGTAAGATCACATATTATTGCTTATTTTTTTAAATACTTTTCACATGCATTATTACTGATGAAGCGCAAATTCTAAGGTAAGAATATTTAAATAATTGTACTTTTATTTTTTTTTTTACTATTTAAATAATATATTATAAAAATATAGATGTATTAATAGATTGTCTGTCAGTATTGGGGTATATTTTATCAACTTGTGCACATTGTTTGAGGCACCTCACTGTGTGTGCGCAAAGTGGCGCTGTGGTTTCACAAATTATATCTCACAAAGTATAGGCTATCATTGCGAGCGTAATTTCAACGTCACTATCACAGTTGGCCATTTTGCGACGAACCCTTGTTTTGTGCGTCTCTGGTTTTAGACTAAATATTGCGGTGTATATCGAGGAAACTTTTCGTCTTTTAATTATTTTTAACACTTCTTTCAGCATCTATTTTGTTTTGTAGTCAAATCCAATGCTTTGTTGCTAGATGAACTGTCCTTGCATCATAATCACTTGATCAGACAATGGATTCTGCTTTGAACGCCTGGTCATGGAGGAGGTATGTCTCGCTGGTTTTTCTTCTATCAGCGGTTTTTCATTTGGCTCTGGCTGTTACTCATTATTCTGTTCCAGAGGAGATGGAAGTAGGATCTGTGGTGGCAAATTTAGCCACTGATTTGGGGCTTGACCTGCAGACTTTGATTAAACGAAACGTCCGTTTAGATGTGATCGCTAATAAGAAATACCTCGCCATAAACAAAGAAAGAGGTGAACTGTACATACAAGAGAAGATTGATCGTGAATATCTGTGTCCTGCAAAAACGACTTGTTTTTTAAAAATGGAAGTTATTGTCGAGAACCCCGAGCGAATATTTTACATTGAGCTAGAAATCACTGACATAAATGATAATAACCCTAATTTTAGACGAGACACAATCAATTTAGACATCACTGAATCTACGCCAGCAGGTGAGCGATTTTCTGTCAGTAATGCGGTGGATTCTGATGTCGGTTCCAACTCTGTTAAAACCTATTATCTAAGTAAAAATGAGCACTTTGACATTGAAATTCAGTCGGGGAGGGACGGTTCCAAATTTGCAGATTTAATTTTAAAAAAGGCTCTAGATCGTGAAACCCAAGCTGTCCATAATCTGGTACTGACCGCGGTGGATGGCGGAGTCCCTCCGCGTTCAGGCACGGCCAGTATCATCGTTCGGGTGTTGGATGCAAACGACAACGCCCCTAAATTTGATCAAGAGAGCTATATCATTAATTTAACTGAAAACGCACCCATAGGGAGCCTTGTCGTTAAATTAAACGCAACAGATCTAGATGAGGGTTCTAACGCCGACCTTGTGTATTCATTTAGTCTGTATACATCTGAGAAGACACAGAAAGCATTCAGTTTAAATCCTGAGAGTGGTGAAATTCGAGTGAAAGAGATGGTTAATTATGAAGACTTTCGAATTTACGATATGGAAGTTATAGCATCAGATAAAGGAACTCATCCATTATCCGGCCAATGTAAATTATCTATTATAATTACAGATATGAATGATAATCATCCTGAAATTTCTATAAAATCATTTACAAGTCCAGTTAAAGAGGATGTACCTGTAAATACAGTAATTGCAGTTGTTAGTGTGAGTGATAAAGACTCTGGAGAAAATGGACAGGTAGATATTCATATTTCTGATGATTTACCTTTTGCGCTTAAAGAATCATCTGATAATTATTATGAATTATTAATTTCAGAACCGTTAGACCGTGAAAAGGTTGCAGAATATGACATCACTATAACCGTCACTGACAGGGGCAACCCGCCGTTATCTGATAATGAAACTATAACTTTAGAGCTACTGGACGTTAATGACAATGTTCCTCAGTTCCCGCAGACATTCTACACGATCCCTGTTATGGAGAATAACGCGCCTGGAGCTTCACTGAGCTCTTTAACTGCTATAGACCCAGATCTCCATGAAAACCAGTATCTAGTGTATTTTATAATAGAGAAGGAAATAGTGAACACCTCCATGTCCATGCTGTTCTCCATTAACCCAGAGAACGGTAATCTTTACGCGCTAAAGACCTTTGACTATGAGATGGAGAAGGAGTTTCTTTTCCACATCGAGGCCAGAGACTCTGGTGTTCCTCCGCTCAGCAGTAACGTGACCGTTCACATTATTATCATGGATCAGAACGACAACACGCCGCTTATAGTGTCTCCATGGCGCGCGCACGGCTCGGAAGTGAAGGAAAAGATCCCGAGATCTACAGATAAAGGAACTCTGATAGCCAAAGTCATCGCCATAGACTCTGACTCAGTGCACAACTCTCGGATCACGTACCAGTTCCTCCAGAACACCGACGCCACGTTATTCAGCTTGGATCAATACAACGGAGAGATCCGGACCATGAGAATGTTCAGTTACAGAGACTCGCGAGACCAGCGGCTGGTGGTGATCGCCAAAGACAACGGAGAGCCCGCGCTCTCTGCTACAGTCACCATCAAACTGTCCACGGTGGAGACCGCCCTCAAAACCTATACTGAGGTGCCTTTGGAGTATGACATCTTCTCAGATCTAAACCTGTATCTGGTGATCGGCCTGGGCTCTGTCTCGTTTCTTTTACTCATCACTATACTGGTGACCATCGTGCTGAAGTGTCAGAAAGCGAAGCCCAGCAAAGCGGCTCCTCCGTGCAGGAACAGTGTGATCAGCGAGAGGAACTCGACCATCGCGGACTCCACTCTGGTCTCCAACGATGCCTACTGGTACAGTTTATTTCTAGCAGAGACGAGGAAAGGAAAGCTGGTGGTCAGACAGCCTGCGCCAAAGGGAGCGAGATACATCGTGTCCAGTTTACCGAGGAGCACAGGAGTGACCGAGACCAGCGACTCAGCCGCGTCTACTCTACAGGTAAGAATAAGAAGTACCCTCTCCTTCTTTCTTTTTTGCTTCTGTTTGGGCTTTTAGACAAAATGTATAGTTTCCATTCTTGGTTTATTTTATCTCATTCAAATGCAAATTAATAGTGTACTTAGACAGTGTTGTAACTTGATTTACAATAATCTCTAGTGAAACCGGTTTTTATTTTTATATATTGCGTTTTTCTGAGTATTTAATTGTTGTATTTTAACTCTAAAATTGATCTTTAATTGTGCCACACAAACCAATGCGCACAGCGTCGCTGTTCCCCATCAAAACGACTCCTCTGCGTTTATCCAGTGCTGATGACGTATCTGCTTTGTTGGCAGAAAGCTGCGTATGCTCTCTTCTTCCATGAACCGCGAAACGCTTTTTCTGCTTTCTGATCATCAAAATGTTACATTCGTAACCGCATGCTATTTGTTTTAAATCTCATGATCACTGGATTATAACTCGACGAAAAAAATGGAATCTCGAATGAAAAGCAAAGCATTGAAAAGGTACGTGTTCGTCATCATTTTAATGTCTCTGCTGAATGCAGCATCTTCTGTTACTCATTATTCCATACCTGAAGAATTGGATGAGGGATCTATAGTGGCTAATTTGGCAACGGATCTGGGATTGGATGTTAAAACATTGAGCATACGCAAGATTCGTCTCGACACTGTAGCAAATAAAAAATATCTGGATATTAACAAAGAAACGGGAGAGCTGTTCATTGTGGAGAGAATCGATCGCGAACACATTTGCAACACTAAGGCAGCAGCAACGTGTGTTCTTAAACTGGATGCCACGATCGAAAACCCTGTCCGAATGTTTAACATTGAGTTAGAAATTGTTGATATTAACGACAATGCTCCGCGTTTTAGAAGGGACACGATGCATTTGGACATTTCAGAGTCAACGCCTGTGGGAGAACGATTCTCTTTAAACAATGCTGTGGATCCTGATATCGGTGTTAATTCAATTAAAACATACTTTCTCAGTGAAAGCGATCATTTTTCTATCGAGATTCAGACCGGACGGGATGGATCGAAATTCACTGATTTGATTCTTAAAAAAGCTTTGGATAGAGAACAACAGGCAATACATAATCTGATCCTCACTGCTGTGGATGGAGGAGTCCCCGCGCGCTCTGGCACGGCTAGCATTATTGTGCGCGTTCTGGACACTAATGACAACGCCCCTCAGTTCGATAAAGACAGTTATACTATAAATCTAACAGAAAACTCGCCCACTGGAAGCCTTGTAGTGAAACTAAACGCCACAGATAAAGACGAGGGCTCAAATTCAGATTTACTTTACTCTTTTAGTTTGTATACATCAGAGAAAACGCAGCAAACATTCAGTCTGAATCCTAACAATGGTGAAATCAGAGTTAAAGAAATGATTAATTATGAGGATTTCAGGATCTATGATATGGAAATTATAGCAACAGATAAAGCAGCTAATAGTCTCTCTGGAAAGTGTAAAGTAAAGATTTTAGTGACAGATATGAATGATAATCATCCTGAAATTTCCATAAAGTCATTCACAAGTCCAGTTAAAGAAGATGTACCTGTAAATACAGTAATTGCAGTTGTTAGTGTGAGTGATAAAGACTCTGGAGAAAATGGACAGGTAGATATTCATATTTCTGATGATTTACCTTTTGCGCTTAAAGAATCGTCTGATAATTATTATGAATTATTAATTTCAGAACCGTTAGACCGTGAAAAGGTTGCAGAATATGACATCACTATAACCGTCACTGACAGGGGCAACCCGCCGTTATCTGATAATGAAACTATAACTTTAGAGCTACTGGACGTTAATGACAATGTTCCTCAGTTCCCGCAGACATTCTACACGATCCCTGTTATGGAGAATAACGCGCCTGGAGCTTCACTGAGCTCTTTAACTGCTATAGACCCAGATCTCCATGAAAACCAGTATCTAGTTTATTTTATAATAGAGAAGGAAATAGTGAACACCTCCATGTCCATGCTGTTCTCCATTAACCCAGAAAACGGTAATCTTTACGCGCTAAAGACCTTTGACTATGAGATGGAGAAGGAGTTTCTTTTCCACATCGAGGCCAGAGACTCTGGTGTTCCTCCGCTCAGCAGTAACGTGACCGTTCACATTATTATCATGGACCAGAACGACAACACACCGCTTATAGTGTCTCCATGGCGCGCGCACGGCTCAGAAGTGAAGGAAAAGATCCCGAGATCCACAGATAAAGGAACTCTGATAGCCAAAGTCATCGCCATAGACTCTGACTCAGTGCACAACTCTCGGATCACGTACCAGTTCCTCCAGAACACCGACGCCACGTTATTCAGCTTGGATCAATACAACGGAGAGATCCGGACCATGAGAATGTTCAGTTACAGAGACTCGCGAGACCAGCGGCTGGTGGTGATCGCCAAAGACAACGGAGAGCCCGCGCTCTCTGCTACAGTCACCATCAAACTGTCCACGGTGGAGACCGCCCTCAAAACCTATACTGAGGTGCCTTTGGAGTATGACATCTTCTCAGATCTAAACCTGTATCTGGTGATCGGCCTGGGCTCTGTCTCGTTTCTTTTACTCATCACTATACTGGTGACCATCGTGCTGAAGTGTCAGAAAGCGAAGCCCAGCAAAGCGGCTCCTCCGTGCAGGAACAGTGTGATCAGCGAGAGGAACTCGACCATCGCGGACTCCACTCTGGTCTCCAACGATGCCTACTGGTACAGTTTATTTCTAGCAGAGACGAGGAAAGGAAAGCTGGTGGTCAGACAGCCTGCGCCAAAGGGAGCGAGATACATCGTGTCCAGTTTACCGAGGAGCACAGGAGTGACCGAGACCAGCGACTCAGCCGCTTCTACTCTACAGGTAAGCAATGGCACATACTGACAAATTCCAATTAAAATTATGGATTTCCCCCCCGGTGAAGTAAGTTTGACTTTGCGCATGAGTATTTGCTTTTATTTTGCTTGTACTTGCCAATTCACACTCAGCAGGTAGATACGAAATATTTGGCATCACTTTTACGCACTGTAATGCAGTAATATATTGTTCATGAATACAGCTGCATTAATTTTCTAAACGTTTCTTTGCAGTCACTGAGAAATATTTATTGCGATAAACATCTTCATTTTTGGCTCACTATTATAAACGTAACCTGACTTGAATTTTATATTTGCTTTTGTTTTCATATACATACGAAAAACTTTTTTATTTGTATTCCGATTTTTTTCATTCCAACCCTTTTTAAAATGTATCCCATTCCTTAATGAGTGTTATAGGATTTTCATATTCGTTTCTAATTTTATTCTTTACGTTGCACTCCTCGCTCCTGTGCGCACAGAGTCGCTGTCCACCAAGAAAATGCATTTCTGTTCGTACTGCCTTCGTCGCCATTGCTGATTCTGTAGGACAACATTGCAGTCTCTCTTTCAGGCAGGACTATTCATCCTCTGATATTTTATTCCAGTTGTCTTTTTCTTTTCACGGATTTATGCCTGCATTAATTTCGCTTAAACCGTGTTTTTGAAACACTTTGGAACTCCCTCCTTGTGTGCATTTTCACGAGAATCAAAAAAATGGAACCGAAAGCACTGCTTTTGTTAAGGTACGTCTCGATCTTCGTATTCCTTTCGCCTGTTTTTCAGACAGCATCTGCTGTTACGCACTACACAATTCCGGAGGAAATGGACGAAGGGTCTGTGGTTGCAAATCTGGCGTCTGATTTAGGATTGGATTTGATAAGTCTTAGTACACGTAAAATGCGACTGGATGTCGTCGCTAGTAAAAAATATCTTGACGTTAACAAAGACACCGGGGAGCTGTACATTTTAGAAAGGATTGACAGAGAGAATCTGTGCCCATCGAAATCGGTCACAACATGCGTCCTTAAAGTGGATGCCACATTAGAGAATCCAATTCGAATGTTTAATATTGAACTTGAAATAATGGACATAAATGATAATGCGCCTCGTTTCCGACGAGATACGATGCATCTAGACATTTCAGAGGCAACACCAAAGGGGGAGAGGTTTTCCCTCACTAATGCAGTAGATCCTGATACAGGTTCAAATTCTGTAAAGACATACTATCTCAGTGAAAGCGACCATTTTGATATTGCCATTCAGATTGGACGTGACGGATCTAAGTTTGCTGATTTGATCCTAAAAAAGCCTTTAGACAGAGAAGAACAAGCTTCACATAATCTGATCCTCACTGCTGTGGATGGAGGAGTCCCCGCGCGCTCCGGCACGGCTAGCATTATTGTGCGCGTTCTGGACACTAATGACAACGCCCCTCAGTTCGATAAAGACAGTTATACTATAAATCTAACAGAAAACTCGCCCACTGGAAGCCTTGTAGTGAAATTAAACGCCACAGATAAAGACGAGGGCTCAAATTCAGATTTACTTTACTCTTTTAGTTTGTATACATCAGAGAAAACGCAGCAAACCTTCAGTCTGAATCCTAACAATGGGGAAATCAGAGTTAAAGAAATGATTAATTATGAGGATTTCAGGATCTATGATATGGAAATTATTGCAACAGATAAAGCAGCTAATAGTCTCTCTGGGAAGTGTAAAGTAAAGATATTAATCACAGATATGAATGACAATCATCCTGAAATTTCTATAAAGTCATTCACAAGTCCAGTTAAAGAAGATGTACCTGTAAATACAGTAATTGCAGTTGTTAGTGTGAGTGATAAAGACTCTGGAGAAAATGGACAGGTAGATATTCATATTTCTGATGATTTACCTTTTGCGCTTAAAGAATCATCTGATAATTATTATGAATTATTAATTTCAGAACCGTTAGACCGTGAAAAGGTTGCGGAATATGACATCACTATAACCGTCACTGACAGGGGCAACCCGCCGTTATCTGATAATGAAACTATAACTTTAGAGCTACTGGACGTTAATGACAATGTTCCTCAGTTCCCGCAGACATTCTACACGATCCCTGTTATGGAGAATAACGCGCCTGGAGCTTCACTGAGCTCTTTAACTGCTATAGACCCAGATCTGCATGAAAACCAGTATCTAGTTTATTTTATAATAGAGAAGGAAATAGTGAACACCTCCATGTCCATGCTGTTCTCCATTAACCCAGAGAACGGCAATCTTTACGCGCTAAAGACCTTTGACTATGAGATGGAGAAGGAGTTTCTTTTTCACATCGAGGCCAGAGACTCTGGTGTTCCTCCGCTCAGCAGTAACGTGACCGTTCACATTATTATCATGGATCAGAACGACAACACGCCGCTTATAGTGTCTCCATGGCGCGCGCACGGCTCGGAAGTGAAGGAAAAGATCCCGAGATCCACAGATAAAGGAACTCTGATAGCCAAAGTCATCGCCATAGACTCTGACTCAGTGCACAACTCTCGGATCACGTACCAGTTCCTCCAGAACACCGACGCCACGTTATTCAGCTTGGATCAATACAACGGAGAGATCCGGACCATGAGAATGTTCAGTTACAGAGACTCGCGAGACCAGCGGCTGGTGGTGATCGCCAAAGACAACGGAGAGCCCGCGCTCTCTGCTACAGTCACCATCAAACTGTCCACGGTGGAGACCGCCCTCAAAACCTATACTGAGGTGCCTTTGGAGTATGACATCTTCTCAGATCTAAACCTGTATCTGGTGATCGGCCTGGGCTCTGTCTCGTTTCTTTTACTCATCACTATACTGGTGACCATCGTGCTGAAGTGTCAGAAAGCGAAGCCCAGCAAAGCGGCTCCTCCGTGCAGGAACAGTGTGATCAGCGAGAGGAACTCGACCATCGCGGACTCCACTCTGGTCTCCAACGATGCCTACTGGTACAGTTTATTTCTAGCAGAGACGAGGAAAGGAAAGCTGGTGGTCAGACAGCCTGCGCCGAAGGGAGCGAGATACATCGTGTCCAGTTTACCGAGGAGCACAGGAGTGACCGAGACCAGCGACTCAGCCGCTTCTACTCTACAGGTAACTTGAACTGCATTTAAAAATCATACTTGCATTTGAAGTTCAATATTTTTTTTTAAATAACGTAGGGCTTTTATTTTATTCTATTCACATTATTTTATATTTTTTGTTTACATTTCTGCTCTCATCATGAACATTAGTTTAGTTACCAAAGCATTCTTGACGTTATATAATATTTTTGTCGTAATTCTTCAAAACATACTCGATGTGTCGCTGTGCCCCAACAAAACGGACGATTTTTCATTTATTTATTTATTTTGGAGACGCCATGACAGTTCCTGCTCAACGGCGAAGCGGAGAGTCTTTACAAAAAGCGTGCGGGGATGCAAGTTCTTCTCTTGGCTTTCTGCAACGAATGATTTTCCGCATAACGCTGGAGAAAACTAAATCAATATTTGAATATACCGAATATCTTCCATTTGCGATCATCATTGTTAAGGACAGCTGTGTTTTGTGCCCGCAAAGACAACACGCTTCACAGCAGAATGGAGTACGCATCATTACTGCTGTTTTCGGCACTCGTTTACACCGCGTCTTCTGTCACCCATTATTCCGTTCCGGAGGAGATGGAGGTAGGCTCTGTGGTTGCTAATCTGGCTGCAGATTTAGGAATCGACGTGCAAACGTTGGGAAGGCGAAACATCAGGTTAGATATCATTGCAAATAAGAAATATCTGGATGTGAACAAAGACACCGGAGACCTGTTTATTTTGGAGCGCATCGACAGGGAGTATCTTTGCATATCGAAAACAGTATGCTACTTAAAAATGGAAGTCATACTGGAAAACCCACTTCGTATATTTAACATTGAATTGGAAATAATGGATATTAACGACAATGCGCCTTACTTTCGTAGGGATACGATTAATTTGGACGTCTCTGAATCTACAGCTGCTGGCGAGAGGTTTTCTCTAAGTAATGCGTTTGACCCTGATATAGGTTCAAATTCCATTAAAAGTTATCATTTGAGTGAGAGTGCAAACTTTGATATTGAAATACAGACAGGGAGGGATGGTTCAAAATTTGCTGATTTAATACTGAAGAAAGCGTTAGATCGCGAGGAGCAGGCAATACATAATCTGATCCTCACTGCTGTGGATGGAGGAGTCCCCGCGCGCTCCGGCACGGCTAGCATTATTGTGCGCGTTCTGGACACTAATGACAACGCCCCTCAGTTCGATAAAGACAGTTATACTATAAATCTAACAGAAAACTCGCCCACTGGAAGCCTTGTAGTGAAATTAAACGCCACAGATAAAGACGAGGGCTCAAATTCAGATTTACTTTACTCTTTTAGTTTGTATACATCAGAGAAAACGCAGCAAACATTCAGTCTGAATCCTAACAATGGGGAAATCAGAGTGAAAGAAATGATTAATTATGAGGATTTCAGGATCTATGATATGGAAATTATAGCAACAGATAAAGCAGCTAATAGTCTCTCTGGAAAGTGTAAAGTAAAGATATTAATCACAGATATGAATGATAATCATCCTGAAATTTCTATAAAGTCATTCACAAGTCCAGTTAAAGAGGATGTACCTGTAAATACAGTAATTGCAGTTGTTAGTGTGAGTGATAAAGACTCTGGAGAAAATGGACAGGTAGATATTCATATTTCTGATGATTTACCTTTTGCGCTTAAAGAATCGTCTGATAATTATTATGAATTATTAATTTCAGAACCGTTAGACCGTGAAAAGGTTGCAGAATATGACATCACTATAACCGTCACTGACAGGGGCAAACCGCCGTTATCTGATAATGAAACTATAACTTTAGAGCTACTGGACGTTAATGACAATGTTCCTCAGTTCCCGCAGACATTCTACACGATCCCTGTTATGGAGAATAACGCGCCTGGAGCTTCACTGAGCTCTTTAACTGCTATAGACCCAGATCTGCATGAAAACCAGTATCTAGTGTATTTCATAATAGAGAAGGAAATAGTGAACACCTCCATGTCCATGCTGTTCTCCATTAACCCAGAGAACGGCAATCTTTACGCGCTAAAGACCTTTGACTATGAGATGGAGAAGGAGTTTCTTTTCCACATCGAGGCCAGAGACTCTGGTGTTCCTCCGCTCAGCAGTAACGTGACCGTTCACATTATTATCATGGATCAGAACGACAACACGCCGCTTATAGTGTCTCCATGGCGCGCGCACGGCTCGGAAGTGAAGGAAAGGATCCCGAGATCCACAGATAAAGGAACTCTGATAGCCAAAGTCATCGCCATAGACTCTGACTCAGTGCACAACTCTCGGATCACGTACCAGTTCCTCCAGAACACCGACGCCACGTTATTCAGCTTGGATCAATACAACGGAGAGATCCGGACCATGAGAATGTTCAGTTACAGAGACTCGCGAGACCAGCGGCTGGTGGTGATCGCCAAAGACAACGGAGAGCCCGCGCTCTCTGCTACAGTCACCATCAAACTGTCCACGGTGGAGACCGCCCTCAAAACCTATACTGAGGTGCCTTTGGAGTATGACATCTTCTCAGATCTAAACCTGTATCTGGTGATCGGCCTGGGCTCTGTCTCGTTTCTTTTACTCATCACTATACTGGTGACCATCGTGCTGAAGTGTCAGAAAGCGAAGCCCAGCAAAGCGGCTCCTCCGTGCAGGAACAGTGTGATCAGCGAGAGGAACTCGACCATCGCGGACTCCACTCTGGTCTCCAACGATGCCTACTGGTACAGTTTATTTCTAGCAGAGACGAGGAAAGGAAAGCTGGTGGTCAGACAGCCTGCGCCAAAGGGAGCGAGATACATCGTGTCCAGTTTACCGAGGAGCACAGGAGTGACCGAGACCAGCGACTCAGCCGCGTCTACTCTACAGGTAGGCCTATATAATGTTAACACGTAAAAAGTCCTTCAAAGAAGCCAGACAACAGAGAATACAACTTGACCTTTCAACCTTTGGCCAAACACCTTTTCATGACTCAACACACTTTTTTCAGCTTTTTCCATTCACAAATTTTCCAGCTTCCCATCTTGTATGGGGTCAGTGAGACTTGGCATACATAAATTTCATAAATTTGCCCTCTGTGCATCACCTTCGAAACTTGAGTTTCAGCCGTTCTTAGCAGATATTCGCTTTACACTAGAGTTTTTGTACGTGTGTAATGTTTTCTTTCTGTCTTTGGTACATATCTAATACCTGTTCTTTTAATTTTAAGTCAGTTTTTTTTTAGTAATTAAAGTTCATCCTGACTTTTTAAAGTTAACAATCTATGCTTTTATCTGTTCAGAGTCAGACTGATAGCGATTTGTGAATTTCTGCTGTTTGTTCTGATTCCACAGCCCCATATTTTTTCTCTTTTACCTGTTGTATATATTCCTAGCTTCCCTCTGGCTGAGCCAGCTGTGAAAGAGATTGTGTGTGTGTGTAACATGTAAAAACTTGTGCAAGCATGTAGCGTGACGTGTTGCTTCTCTATCAGAGCAGATTGACCTACTTTCCTGTCCTGCTGTTTCACCCGCACTTCTGATGCTCACAAACCTTCATACTTTTATGCTTAAATCTCTTAATATTCTGATTTAATGTTGGACTCCAAAGATTTATGCGCTTATTTAGACAAAAAAAATCTTATCACAGTTGCCTCAAAAGTATTTGGACTTGCATCAAGCTTTGTTTACATGCACTCTAAACAATGCTGGGTTTTTTCAACCCAATGGACAAACCCAAATGTTTGGTTAAAAATGTTAGGACTGTCAAACATCCAAAATAAAAGTTTGTGTTTACATAATATATGTTGGTGCACTGTGTATAATTATTTTATTTATATAAATACACACACATGTTATATATTTTTAAGAAATATTTTCATGTATATACTTTATATAGATTTATATATAATTTATATTATATGTAAAATAAATATTTTATATATAAATATATTTTTTTTCTTAAATATACAAGCATGTGTGTGTATTTGAAGAGTTCAGATGCAAAAGCCTCTAAATGCCATTTGAAATTTTCTTCTTTAATGATGATTTTTATCAAACTTGTATATTTAAGTTCAGTAATTTCACTTAAATAACAATTAATAGGTAATTATCATTGCCATTTAAGTAAAATCACTGAACTTAAATATACAAGCTTGATAAAAATGATCATTCTAGAAGAAAATTTCAAATGGCACTTAGAGGCTTTTGCATCTGAACTCTTCATTTATATATTTACAAAATAATTATTCACATTGCACCCACATATATTATATAAACACAAACTTTTATTTTGGATGCGATTAATCGTTTGACAGCCCTAAAAAATGTAATTAAAATAATAAGGTTGAAAGTGAAAGTTGAAATTACATTTTTAACCCAACATTTGGGTTTGTTCATATTTTACCCAATTTTAACCCAGCATTTTTTAGAGTGTGCATGATAGAGTTGTTCATTAAGTTGTTCTCATTTGTTAGAGTATCACCTGAAGGACAGGTAAGTGATTGAAAGACAGAGTGAGAGTCTTTAACGTAACTTTAACTTTTCTGTTCTTTTTCTTTGTGCAGTCTGTTTTTTTTAAAACAACGTCTCTTAATCTGACTCATCTCTTTTCCTTCTACTTCTTAGTGAATTGCATAATTTGTTCGCTCGAGTTGTTTTTGCAACACATTCTTTTTGCATAATGTGTTATGCTTTTACATTATTCACAGGTTACCTGGAGTCCCTGATAATTCAAACAGCACTGACGGAGGAGAGGAAGTCTTTTCCTGATTTAACGCACTGAAACGAGCTTAGACTATAGGACTGATGTAGAAACAGATTTTTTTGTTATCTACTCTGTTCAGTGAAATTCATCAAAAATGTTTCTGCCATAAGCTCAAATATTGAAATGTGTGTCTCTTTTTTTGTTTCCGCTTTAAAGTACTCAAAATGAACGAGGTCCCTTCTCCCGCTGGAGGTATGCAGCCCTGACTTCAACATTTTCTCGATTTCTGGAGCACCTGATCCCAGACCTTTACTGAAATATGTGTGACTGTGTTTCTCTTTGTGGTTGGTGTTTTTTGTCAGTGGAGTTTGCCTTGTCCTGTTGTAGGAGGAGCCAAGGAACCAATTCATACAACTGAATTCAAATCAGTTTTTTTCTTGTTCACAATCACAGTTTAGATGCAGGTCCACATTAGCACTCAGTTTGGCATCTCACTTGGTCTTCTGAGCCTTTTCAGGCTGCTAGATTTAAACTTTGCAGTCTTTTTTATTGTGAAACTCAATATTTAGACTGAAATCCTTAAAGCTGGTGTTTTCTTCACTACAACTGATGTTATGCAGCCTCACAAACCCCTCCTTTTATAGACACCTTTGACCAGCAGAAGCGCTAATGATACTGACTCTGTGTGGTTTGATTGACAGTGGCTGAGGGTGCAAAAGTTGCTCCGATAAACACGTATTACTGAATCGGTTAAAGAAAGTTCACCCAGAAGTACAAACTGATCATTTACTTTTATTAATTATAATAATTATTTCCTTTCTTTTGTGGAAGAATGTTTCCGCTGCTCTTTTCTCTACAATGAAAGTGACAGGGAATGGATGCTGTCAAGTCAAATAACCTTTATATATAGCACTTTATACAGATCGTTTCAAAGCAACTTCACTGTAATAACAGAATCAGGGATTCAAAAGTCACTAATTATGAGACAAATTTTGCTGCAATGCAGTTCTAAGAAGAAAATATTGCCAATATTCATTTTACTGATAGTATCTGATAGTGTCAATATAGTCAAATCCATGTTACTTAAAGGGATACTTCACTTTTTTTTTTTTTTTTTTTTTTTTGGAAATAGGCTCATTTTAAAATTCAGAGTTAAAAATTTGGGTTTTACCGTTTTCGAATCCATTTAGTTGATTTTCGGATATTTAGAAGAATATCAGTAACCAGACAATTTCTGGTCCCATTGACTTCCATAGTATATATTTTCCTACAATGCAAGTCAATGGGACCAGAAACTGTCTGGTTACTTATATTCTTACAAATATCAGAAAATCGTCTGAATGGACTCGAAATTGGTAAAACCCAACTGTTTAACTCTGAAGGAGTTGTAAAATGAGCCTATTTCCAAAAAAGTGGAGTATACTTTAAATATTCAATGTCTTTCAAGACCAATCTTTAAGATTGTGGAGGGAAAGTATATTCGACAGCATCTGTTCTTATCCGCTTTCATGGTTTGAAAAAGTTCCTCAGACTAAAAAAAATATAAAAAATCAGGGCTTTAAAACAAGAGATGGGTTAGTAAATGGCAGAATTACATTCCTTTAAACAAGTATTAATCAAATGTGGCTCTAGTGCATGATGTGGGTTTTAACAATATATGTACTGACTGTTCATCTACTAAACATCATTATGAGCTCCTCAGCCTGTTTGTTGAATGGTTTGTCTACTTGTGTGTTTGAATGGTTGGAGAATTGACTGGTGGATTCCAAGTTCACATACTGGTTCTTTTCACAAATAAATCAGAGTGATGGGAAACAACCACCCAGTTTTCAGCTCGCTGCCCTTCCATCACCCCAACCACCCTCACCTGATATCTGAGCATGGTTCTCATTGATCAACCCCCCCCCACCCCCATCACCTGTCAATCAAACCAAGGTTCCACCTTCTGCCTGAAGCCTTTTATTTGAGTGACAGGCCTTGGTTGCATGAGACGTGTTCAGATTCTGGCCTATCACGATGTGAGTAACATCTGAAGTCTTTTTCTTTCTTTTTGACAGGCATCCACCACCACCAGCAGCAGTTCCACCTGAGGGCCTCATTGCTGTGTGAAAAATCGTTCCATCAACCTGCATGTCTGTTCATCCATTACATCCACCTGCACCATCCAACAGAGATGAAACCAACCCTCTTCACATCAATGTTCTGAGAGCTTTGCCCTCGCTTTTCCCAACAAGCCCATGGACGATCTGACCAGAGGATTGACAAAGACGAGATACTCTTACAGGACTGGACTTGGACTGGGTCTGTGAACACACACACAAACACACAAACAGCACAGATCATGTCTTTGTCAAAGAAACTTTTCTGCAAAACTTGTATGCTTGTGTTTGCATGGTTAAAGCTCCATGTTAGATCTTCATTATATATATAGTGACTGGTAAACACATTGGAGAGAGAAATTATGAACAAAATATTCTCAGATGACCAGTGAATTGCACAAAAAAAATCCCATTTGTAATCTGTAGCTTTGCATTTTTTTTTCTAGTAGAAATATCTAAACACCCTTGAAATAAGATTAAGATGCCTAAAAGCAAGTGTTTACAAAAAACCCCTGAAAATTACAGTACAAAATATTTATATTGGACATACATTGTCTGTTAATCTCATGCAGTTTGCTTCTCGTGTGAATATACCTGGTTTCGTGCAAGTTTAGATATTTTTACTGAAAAAAAAAGATGGGATTTGTTTTGCAATGTGTGTGTGAACAAGCACAAAGAGGATTCACGTGATGCAGACCTGTGGAGAGATGGCGTGCTAGAAAGCTTCTCTTTCCCTGTAACATATGTATAAAGCATTTATTATGTGTTTTCTTGGATCTCATTTAGACTTCTATCAGAATAATACAAGTGTATTCAGAATAGGTCACAGCAAATTGGATTTGTTGTCCCTATTATTCTATTCTCTTCATTGTAGTGTTGCTGTTTGTGTCAGTATTTTGAGTTTCAGTTTATAAAGAATCGAGTTGAATCGAAGCACTGATCGGACACAGAAAGTGTGAGAAGAACGCTTACCGTTGTTATGATCTCTCCTGAATATGATATTATTTTTTATGAGTGTAGTCACAATGATTGCTTCCTCTGTGGTGAAGGATCTATATGTGTGTGTATCTTCAATTCATTTAGTTTTTTTATTATCATTTATGATCAATAACAAATGGTATAAACAATCAAATGACACATTAAATGAATGGCTGAAATACATAATTTGCCATTTATAACCATTATCCATTTAAATATTAATACCATTTATCATTGCAATTTGCAATCATTTTCCTTGCTCTTGCAATGCTTTCTATTAGGTTTTAATCCTATGATAGAGGGGTTTCATGGAATATTTGTCTTCACGAATAACCAATAAGAGGGATTATTGCAATTTCTTGGTTTTATGGGATGTTGTTGTCAGGAAGAAGTTTGGTATAGAAAAACCTGTTTAATTTTAATTAATTCAATAAACCCTGTTGATTTCTGCTAATTCATGGCCTTCTCTGTCAACCTCTAAGGCTGATAGAAGTCTTGGGTACCAGACGAAATACTGATTTTGCATACTAGACAAAAAGAGACTGGATCCAGTTGTCCTGGTGTGGGGATCTGATGTAATCTGGTGTCTGGTGACATTCTTAAATGCACAAACGCAGACACAGCACAGTGATGTCATAGTGCAGAGGCATTTGAAGGACACACTCGTTTCTAAAGTGATGAGGAGAGTCGTCTGATGCCCAAGATCTTACATCAGTTGTTTATCAGTGAGTTACTCCTTTTTTTCATGTATAAAACACACAATTTAATAGATGGAGACATGTTACATCAGCCTTTCCGAATCTTTCAAAAAAGGCCTCAAGCTGGTGGATGACTTGCTTGCTTATAAACAATGACAATGTTTACTTTGCTTATTTTTAGGCTTTATTATCTAACATTATGGAATGTGTTTGTTTAATACTCATGGAAAAGCTTTGAAAAAAGAGTACATACAGAAAATACATTGTAGAAGTTTCATTTATTAATTTTGTAATTTTTTTATTTTGTGTTTTAATATAAACTTTCATATTGCTGCTTTTTATTGTTGATATTTTCTATTTGCTATCTATGGTGCAATATATGGACATACGCATTTTATTTCAGTGAACAATATGGTCTTTTTGTTGCCTTTCTGAAATGTCATGTACGATAATATCATGGTATAATCATAACCTTCGGAGGGTCTGGCAGCTTCTCCAGGCAGGTCAAGAGGTCAGGGTGTCTTGGGGTGTATTCAGTGACTGGCTTAATTAGATGTGCTAATTCTCAGACATGAGCGGTGCTGTAGAGTAACATCACGTTTGTATTAAAGAAAGGTGTTTTATGAAATATAAAAGTGTTTTTATGTAATTTCATGTCTGTCAGTGTGAGCATCTATAAGTAGGTCACTTATCTCTCACTACCCAGGAAAGTGACTACAATTCATTTACCCAATAGCCTCATTTTGTTATATAAAAATGGGCTGTCTGTATAAAGCACATGATAGCCCCTTCATCTCTTTTTCATCCTTATCAAAATGTGCATTTTCTACAAGCATTTATGCTCTAAAGCCAACCCGAAAGCTGATTGCATCCGTGATTTGCCTTGGAGAAACTCACAAGACCCTCTTCGCTCAAAAGTATCTCCTGATATATTGTACAAAAAACATGGGAAATAGTGTGTTATTTCTGTCATTCACATTGTAAATCCGAACCGTGATGGGACTTTGCATTTGTAATGTTTTTAGGTTTGAAATGACTTCTAAAACTAGCCAAATTCAGATGCACTGGAGAATAAAAATCAAAACACATTGTTTTTACAGTGCCATTATGATTGTCTTTTAAATGGGGAAGAGAAAGATAGACCATGTATGTGATTATGATCAATAAAATCAAAGTGACTTTTGTGAATTATTCATCTTAGTTTGCATGATTTTCAGTTGTTTGGGGACAGTAGGTGAGTGTGTTTGGGTGGGTGACTGGATAAAAATGAGGTCATCTCTGCAAATGATGTAATGCGTAAGGATAAAAAAAGCTTCATGTCATATCCGCTTTTTTATTTAGATGTAAAACACTAGAAAACCACATTCAGATCGTCATCACCCATTCTGATAAATATTTATATATTTTTTTTCTTCCGCTAATTTCGACAGAATTTAATGCTGTCCTCGCTGGCTTACTGTCTGGTTCTGGTTCTGTGATGTGGGTCAGAAGAACAAAGTTGGAAAATACATGCAACTGCTTTTTGCTTCTCTTTTCCTCCTGACCCAGATCTCTCTCCGCCTGCCTTACAGCACAGAGTGAGACTGCAGCATCCTTAAAAGCTGCTGCGGCGGGGACACACACACACACACACACACACACACCATGCTTTCCTGAGACACTGCAGAAAAAAGGCCTCACTCAGAGAAATCAGGCTGTCTGCTGGTTGCTAGGCAACGGGAGCCTGTATCTTAGCGACCGGATAAAAGGTGGGTTAATAGAAAAGAGGAATGTAAATAATTATTAAAAAAATAAATTGTTGTTACTAGCTTGTTAAATTACTGGTGAATTTATTTGGTGTTCCTCATGTCTTCCCAAACACCTCCCTTCACTCACGCTTTTCCCTCGAGACTGCAATGTTCAGCACCATAGACAGTGACCCGCCTATCCAAAGGCCCGTTGCCATGGTAACGGGATGGGAGGGGGTGCATGATGCTGCGTCCTGTAATTTGATGCACCGACAAGAAAGAGGCTCAGCAAGCCAAATCTGGGGAGCTCGTGTGTCTGTGCAGTCTATCTGAAATAAATAGCATAACACAGACATTAATAACAATATGATATGAAATACTAGTGCATGTAAATGTGATTGATATGTAGGCTAAATTTGATGTCAATTCGTCCATGAGAGACGACCTTGAGATGTGAAATCACTTCACTCTGCCCTCTGGTGTCATGTGTCTGGTACATGGTTTGGTTTTCACAGACCCTCATACGTAATCCGCTGTGGTGGGAGGGAGCGCAGAACAAAAGGGACGGGTGGGGCCGAGTTTGTCACGTGATCTGTGTAACTGAACCACAAGATGTCACTGCACACCATGCAGTCAGACTCTAAAACATAGGCGTGGTCAACATATTAATACTGGCTCATTTATTCTCTTAAAATGTATAAAACGTGTTTTAAATGCTGATTCCAATAAAAGAAAAATAACAAAAAAAATTTCCCCCCCAAAAATGTATTAGATGTTTATTTTCAGATATATACTCAAGGGTTCATTGGGGTTCTATATCTGAAGCATAGGGTTCTTTACTCAACTCCAAAGAACCTTTTATGCTAAAAAAGGTTCTATGATGACAAGAAAGAACCCTTTTGGCACAAAGGGTCTTTATAGGCTATTATTCATTCATATATTACATTATTCTGCAACATTTTGTAGTTGTAATTAAATTATTGTTTATTAGTAACTTAATATCACATTTTAATCATGCTGATTTTTGGAGGAGAAAAACTGAAATGGCACTCTTCGTGTGATATTGATTAACTACATTAAAATGATATAAATGTATCCCGGGTTAAAAATGCATAAAGTTATAACAGTGATGTTAGTTGTAGGTCTATCATCTAGTAATTAGAGTATATAAGTAGTGTGATTTAAAAAGGCTGAAAACATTCAAAAAGAAAAGTTATAATAAAAATGTTAAAAGCAGTTTTAAAATTATGTTTATTGCTTTAGTCAAGAGATCTGAATTGTAGTCACTTTTCTGGGTAGTGAGAGATAAGTGACCTACTTAGATGCTCACACTGACAGACATGAAATTACATAAAAACACTTTTATATTTCATAAAACTCCTTTCTTTAATACAAACGTGATGTTACTCTACAGCACCGCTCATGTCTGAGAATTAGCACATCTAATTAAGCATGTCACTGAATACACCCCAAGACACCCTGACCTCTTGACCTGCCTGGATCTAAACCAGCATTTATGGGGTTAAGAGCAGGTGTGTGGAGTGAGCGCCACTTTGAAAAAGAGAGAAAAAAAAGTAGGAAAGAGGAAGCACACGAGTGAGCGTGACACAGAGATTAGTAGCCTAATGTAACTTGTTTCTTATGATTGTTTGCACAACAACAACCAGTGAGAAGAGTGATAAGCAGTAATATATTGAGAAGCGGGATGAATTTCTACACGTAGAGACTGTTTACTTTTGTGCTACTGCTAATGCTAACCATAGACTATGCTAAGTCCGTTCATTACAAATGAAGGGCATTTTCTAGTTAAAGTTCGAGTCCCTCCGTTGGACATTTCGAGGGGTTTATCTGCTGTGTTCGACCTGAAGACAAGGAAGATACTCAGACGGAGTTTGGAGCAACTGGGATTTCTCTTGTGACATTGCTGGAGACGTGGAAGAGAAAAGAGAAACCAACGGAGTTCGTGTGGAAATGCTGATCGGATGCTGAGCCCGTTCGAGTGATTATACTGGGGTAAAGACGGGACAGAAACATTAACTCGAGGTATGTTTCTTTTATTTTGTTTGCTCGCTGACGAGTGAAGCGGCCATTGAGCACCGCATCAGGCCTGCTACGGTATTTTAGTTCGTAATCATTTTGGTTGCGTAGATTCTATTGCATTAAGGTGTGTGTGGGCCCACAAAATATATTGATTTAAGTGACTTTGATGTTGTATTTGAGTTTTGCGGAATTAATGCGTTTGCAGGTTATTAGGGTTTAACTTGTGACTGTGCATTTATAAAATATAGTACTGACTATATTTCCCTTTAAGAAAGCGGGACATTTTGTGTTGAAGGTTTTAAAAAAGGACAATCACAGTTTATTTAATTTCTTATTTTGTTTGGATATAATTGTTTCTTCGAGTAAATAATTGAGATATATTTAAGTTATTTTAATTCTGTAAAGAGGTTATCTTTTTAATCTGATAGAGACATACTTTTGGTTAAAAGTCTTTATTAAAAACTATAATTTAAAAAGGGTAAATTCATAGATAGGTTTAAAATAGTTAAATTGCGTAGTTTAACAGAGAGATCCAAGATAACATCTAAAACTAACAGATTAACAGACATTTGATAAAAACATTAAAATAAAATAAAAATACCATCATCAGTATACATACTGAGTGGAGCGCTACATAAATATATACATTTTCTAACCCCCATATCTTGAACCCAAAAGGTTCCATATAGAACATTTTACCTGGTTACAAAGGGTTCTTATTATTGGACCCTTAAAAAGAATTCTGTATAACCTTTTAGGGGTTCCAAATACGTAGCGCTGGACCTTTTAAAGTTCTATATAGAACCTTTTCTTCTAAGAGTTAATAATAACAACAATAATCATTATAATAATCATTTGACCTTCTCCAAACATTTGATATACTTGATATACAAACATATAGCGTAGCTGGTCCTATTTGTAATTTATGCGATTTTCCCATTTTGCGCATACGTTAAATTCCCAACTTTGGATGGAAACAGCATCATTAGAAGCTGTATTGTAAAGGAGATGATGCAGTTCTGCAAAATCGCTCTGAGTGGCGCTGCAATACCATACACTGCTAACTACAGCATTTAACAACAGATTTCGTGGCTTGGCGTGTGTCAGACATCACTTTGGCTTTGAACAATGAACAACCACGACGATTTTAAATCGGTCCGTTATTTGTGCTTTGGAGCAGCATAAATGAGTTGAGCGCATCTGCTATTTTCAGAGGAAACTATGGCGAGTGGAAACACAAGAACGCGGATGAGCACGATTCTTTATGTGATGTGTTTGCTGTTTAATTCCGGAGGAAATGCTGCTCAGATAAACTACTCCCTCCAAGAAGAATCCAAAACTGGAGTCACTGTAGGGAACATTGCAAAAGACTTGGGGATTGATCCGACTTTATTGGAGAACCGGAATTTACGCATTGTCGCGGGGACAAAGCAAGAGCTCTTTCGGGTAAATCATGAAGACGGCGCTTTGTTTGTGAACCAGAGGATAGACAGAGAAGAGCTGTGTGCTAAAACCAACCCGTGTCTCATTCATCTTAAAGCAGTGATAGAAAATCCACTCGAAATGCACCAGATATCAGTTGACATCATCGATGTCAATGATAACCCGCCTAGTTTTTTGGAGGAAAACTACACATTGGAAATACTTGAATCTGCAATGACAGGAGCACGATTTCAGTTAGAGACTGCTCACGATCCAGATATAGGCTCAAACGACTTGCAGGCATATAAACTGAGCCAAAATCATTATTTTCGTTTAGAAACGGAAGACATGGGAGACGAAGGTAAGATCCCCGTCCTCATTCTACAAAAACCTCTTGATAGAGAAAAAAGCGCAAGGCATAAGCTAATATTAACTGCGACGGACGGCGGAAAGCCGCAGAAATCAACCACTGTAAATATTACTATTGTTGTCTCAGATGTTAATGATAATACTCCCGTTTGTGATAAACAAAAATACACAGTGAAGGTGAAAGAAAACGCCCCTGAAGGAACATTTCTGCTCCGCGTAAATGCTTCGGATTCAGATGATGGGAGAAATGGGGAAATTGAATATTCTTTAAGGAACAAGTTCAGGAACGGAGCATCTGAGGTTTTTGATTTAGATAGTTTAACGGGGGAATTAAAGATAAAAGGCGGGTTAAATTATGAGGAAAGGCAAGTTTATGAGCTAAAGATAGTGGCTGCGGATAAGGGGGCCGTGTCATTATCCACACTATGTAACGTGCTTGTCAATGTTGAGGATGTCAACGACAACAGGCCTGAGATTGACGTCACCTCCGTATCTAGCCACATACCCGAGGATGCTCCTCCTGGGACTGTCGTGGCTCTGATGGGAGTTACTGACCTGGACTCGGGTATGAATGGAAAGATTGTTTGCGCACTGCCCACAAATATTCCCTTTGATCTAAAGCCATCGCCTGATGGGAACTTTTATTCTCTGGTAACTAAAGAACAGATTGACAAGGAATCTAAATCATCTTATGACATTACCATAACAGCAAAAGATTTAGGAACACCGTCGTTATCATCAACGAGGTCGATTCACGTCGAGGTCACGGATGTTAACGACAACAGCCCCGCATTTACTCAAAGCCCATATACATTCTACGTGGTTGAAAACAACAAACCAGGAATTGCTGTTTTCTCTTTAAGTGCAGCTGATATAGACGAAGGTGAAAACGCACGTGTCTCGTATTCAATTGATCGAGTGAATTCAGATCAACGCATTATATCATTTCTGAGTATTAATGAGGCGAATGGTACCGTTTACTCATTGAAGAGCTTTGACTTTGAATCTTTAAAAACTTTTCAATTCTTTGTTCTCGCCAAAGACTCTGGAAGTCCGTCTCTGAGCAGTAACGTGACAGTGAACGTGTTTATTCTGGATCAGAACGACAACGTTCCGGTGATCTTGTATCCAGTCAGCGCTAACGGTTCTGCTGAGGGTGTGGAAGAGATTCCCCGGAATGTGAACGCTGGTCATTTGGTGACTAAAGTCAGAGCCTATGACGCAGATATAGGATACAACGGCTGGTTATTGTTTTCACTGCAGGAAGTGAGTGAGCACAGTCTCTTTAGTTTGGACCGCTATACAGGACAGATAAGAACCCTTCGCTCATTCACAGAAACAGACGAGGCCCAGCATAAACTGCTCATACTGGTCAAAGACAATGGGAACGTTTCACTCTCAGCAACAGCGACTGTGATTGTCAAAGTTGTGGAGCCCAAAGAGGCTTTTGCAGCTTCTGATGTTAAAAACGCAGTAAAAGACGAGGAGGAAAACGACGTGACATTTTATCTGATCATCACTTTGGGCTCGGTTTCAGTGCTTTTTGTCATCAGCATCATCGTGTTGATTGTGATGCAGTGCTCGAAATCTACAGACTATTCGTCCAAGTATTTACAGGACACAAATTACGACGGGACTCTGTGTCACAGCATCCAGTACAGATCTGGAGACAAACGGTACATGTTAGTTGGACCCAGAATGAGTATCGGCTCTACGATAGCGCCAGGCAGTAATAGGAATACTCTAGTGATACCAGATCGCAGGAGGAGGGATTCTGGAGAGGTAAGATACATATTTTACAATTATTCTTATTTTGAAGTTTGCACGTTTGTGTAGTCGTTTCAAAGAGAACTGTCCATGGTGCTGAAATCCAAAACCAAACATTCCAACACTATCTGAAAATTTTCAACCCAGTGATGCCATTTAATAAAAGTGCAAATAATCAGTGTTCCAAATAAACCACAACATCTCAACAGTGGTGGGATATTTTTTTTTTATAGCTAAACTACATTAATCTTATACTTATTATTTAAAAAAAGTCTGGCATTAAAATACATGAAATACAGAAAAACACTTTTTACTGAAACCTAAAACACTTAGTGAGTCAGTCACACTTATTAATGGCTGTAGGTTTAAATTTGTATGTTAAAATATAGGCTATAATTGAGAAATATCTATTGACTCGAGCAAAATGATTACGCTTCCAATGATTAGCGCATTCTAAATAAAATCAACAGGAACCGAAATCTTTTTTTATATTGCAGCACACCTCTACCATCTCCATTATATCACGGTGTCACTATATCAGTGCATTTTGTGATCTGTGACATTAAAAGGAAAACAATCTTTATTATGTAGTTTGTTTGCTTACAATCGAGTGAAGCCTGCTTCTGCATTGTCAGTTCTATTCTAATCTAATGTTTCTTAGAACTGAAATTCTCCATTACCCGCTATATTATCAGTTAGCCTCACGGTGTCAGTATTATACAAGGAAACCTTTTTTAACGCAGTCCCTCCTCTTTAAGACATTGACGTCACACAATTGTTCCTCTCCACCAAAAGCGCAATTCTGTGTTGTTGAAAACACCCGGTAGTCGGCGTGGATTGCGGTGATTTGTTTGAAGAAATTGCACATTTCTGAGACATCTCGGTGAATTCGCTAATTAAGAAATCAAGGGCAACATTGATTTGTTTCGTGATCTAAAGCAGTTGCTTCATGATGGAGCCCGATGGACAAAAGCGCAGATGGGAGTGCTGGTGGATCTCTTTGTGTTTTTCTTTTCTGTTGTGCTTCGGACAGCAGGTTTCAGCTCAGATAAGGTACTCTATTCCAGAGGAAGTGAAAGAAGGAACTATCGTTGGAAATATTGCAAAGGATTTGGGGCTTGAAGTCAGTGCTTTGGTGGACAGGCGATTCCGTATTGTATCTGGATCCAATGATGAATTTTTTCAGGTAAATCAGAACGGCGTCTTGCATGTTCATAAGAAAATCGACCGAGAATCGCTGTGTGATAGTCATAATGCATGCATGATCAATCTGAAGATTGTCGTCGAAAATCCCCTTGAAATACATTACATTGGAGTAGAGGTGATTGATGTAAATGACAATCCGCCTACTTTTAGTGAACATGAGAAACGATTAGAGATTTTGGAATCGACTGCTCGAGGGACGCGTTTTCAGCTTAAAGCGGCGCGTGACCCGGATGCAGGGGGCAATTCCATTCGTACATACAAATTAACCCAAAATGAACACTTTGATCTTGAAGTTAGAGATCAGGGAGAAGATAAACTGCCATTTTTAGTTTTACAAAAAACTCTTGACCGTGAGATTAATGACGAATATAATTTAGTTTTAACAGCAATAGATGGTGGAAATCCACAAAAATCCGGAACTCTAAATATTACAATTAACGTTCTTGACCTAAATGACAATAGACCGTTTTTTAGCCAAGAAATGTATTCTACAACTCTAAAAGAAAATATACAAGTTGGAACGCTAGTCATTCAGGTTCAAGCAAGTGATGCAGATTATGGTTCAAACGGAGAGGTCACATACGCATTTGGCAGCGATCAGAACCCAAAGGTGTATGAGATATTTAGTTTGGATAAACTGACAGGTGACATTCGTGTGAAAGGTGATATAGATTTTGAGGACAAATCTATTTACAAACTTGAAGTTCAAGCGTCTGATAATGGCCAGCCCCCTATGAAGACAGACTGTAGAGTTGTCATAAAAATTTTAGACACGAACGATAATACGCCTGAGATCGATGTAACGTCACTGTCAAAGATGGTGCCTGAAGATTCCAGGCCTGGTACTGTAATCTCACTCATTAGTGTTACTGACAGAGACACTGGTGTTAACGGAAAAGTTGTGTGCACTCTCTCAGAAAATGTTCCATTTGAATTAAAACCATCAGTTCAGGACAACATGTTTTCGTTAGTCACTAAAAGGAACCTGGACCGTGAAATCATATCAAATTATGACATTACAATAACAGCGACCGACTTGGGTCAGCCTCCACTGTCCTCCTTTAAAACTCTGAGCGTGCAGGTGTCTGATGTTAATGATAACCCACCTGAATTTAGCATAAATCCTATTGAATTATATATGATTGAAAACAATGCTGCAGGCGCGGCCATTCTCACGCTGAGTGCTTTTGACAAAGACCTTAATGAAAACTCCGTGATTTCATATCAGATTATTAAAGGGAATGACGTGACATCGTTTCTAAATATTAATTCTGAAACAGGCGCAATTTATGCACTTAAAAGTTTTGATTTTGAAACTACCAAAAAGTTCCAGTTCAATGTTCTCGCCAAAGATTCTGGAAGTCCGTCTCTGAGCAGTAACGTGACAGTGAACGTGTTTATTCTGGATCAGAACGACAACGTTCCGGTGATCTTATATCCAGTCAGCGCTAACGGTTCTGCTGAGGGTGTGGAAGAGATTCCCCGGAATGTGAACGCTGGTCATTTGGTGACTAAAGTCAGAGCCTATGACGCAGATATAGGATACAACGGCTGGTTATTGTTTTCACTGCCGGAAGTGAGTGAGCACAGTCTCTTTAGTTTGGACCGCTATACAGGACAGATAAGAACCCTTCGCTCATTCACAGAAACAGACGAGGCCCAGCATAAACTGCTCATACTGGTCAAAGACAATGGGAACGTTTCACTCTCAGCAACAGCGACTGTGATTGTCAAAGTTGTGGAGCCCAAAGAGGCTTTTGCAGCTTCTGATGTTAAAAACGCAGTAAAAGACGAGGAGGAAAACGACGTGACATTTTATCTGATCATCACTTTGGGCTCGGTTTCAGTGCTTTTTGTCATCAGCATCATCGTGTTGATTGTGATGCAGTGCTCGAAATCGACAGACTATTCGTCCAAGTATTTACAGGACACAAATTACGACGGGACTCTGTGTCACAGCATCCAGTACAGATCTGGAGACAAACGGTACATGTTAGTTGGACCCAGAATGAGTATCGGCTCTACAATAGCGCCAGGCAGTAATAGGAATACTCTAGTGATACCAGATCGCAGGAGGAGAGATTCTGGAGAGGTAAGGCTGGCGGATTTATTATTTTTTGCACTTTTTGAATTTAATGTATTATTTGCATATTACGTTCTTTGGCGTGTCCTTCTCTTCTTGACTTTTCAGGTTTTGTTTTGGCATGGCTGTTTTAAATGTTTATAATTTATTGGGCTTTTTTATGTCAAGGTAGATTTGTACCAGATTTCGTTTTACCTGCACCCCTGTTCCCCACGGTTTTCATTGTCATTCTCGAAATCTTCCTCAGTCATGGAAACTGCATCAGTGTTATTATCAAGCTAAGTTACTTTGGATACTCTTATATAACAGTTGTATTCTTGAAGCTTCATCATTACATTTTTGTGTTGATTTTATTACTCATGAAAAGTGAAAACTCATTTTAGCGTTTAAATTCCACCATAAACACAATGCGTGCTATAGAAAAACATTTAGTGTGATCGGGTTGCATCATCAGTTGTGACAATATTAAGAATATTACAGTTATTTTATTGGACTCTGTCACTGCAAAAGGTAAATATAAGTTTGACCCGGAATCAGTTCTACTATAATCCCTGGCAGTAATGGAAATACTGTGGATTTTTAATATAATTTTTTATTTTTTAGTAAAAAAAATGACGCTTAATATCTAAACTCGGTACGATCTGCACTACTTGCAATCTCTCTGCAACATTCGTATGTGATATCTGGGGCGGATTGAATGCCTTTGAATTAGCTGCGCTTACATCGCAGACGCAGTTATATATATTAGGCCTTTATGATCATAATTTGAATAATTAGTTCTTAGACAAAAATATTTACACAACTCCACTGTGTACTTGAACTTGTACATGAACAATGAGTTCAGAATACAGACATGTATTGTGTAAAAACAAAGTTTTTATTGGTAAATCTTACTTGTCATAGCTGATTCGTGCGGAACTGCATGGAATTAGCTTTGTAACCTTGTGAATTTTAAGGTTTTATTTCATGTGTATGTATAAAGGCATATCGAAAGAGATTTATATATATAAAAAGTAAATATAGACTGTATATGTATTTAAAATGAGAGGATATTTATATTGTATTTTTTTAGAGGTCAGGCATATGTACAATATATTAACTTAATGAAATTATATCTGCAAAAATGTATCAAACATTTGCTCTCTGTCTTAATCCTTTAGTTTAAGTGCATGGGATATTTAAAATAGTGACATGTTGCAGTGGACCTCATGGTGTCAGTATTACACAAGGAAACGTTGTTTGTGTCAGGGATTTGTTTTGCGTCACACAGGTTTTCACCCAGGCTAGAGCGCACTGACTACTCTTCTAGTCTGGACATATTTGTCGATACTCGAGCAAAAGATGTTCTCAAATTCCTCCTCGAAGCATTTAAATAGATTTATACCTTAACGTTAATTGTAAGGATTATACATTTACACGGGACGTGTTCCTCAGGCGACGGTTTTCATCATGGATGCTGGAGAACAAAGGCGGCGATGGGAGTACTGGTGGATTTCTCTGTGTTTCTATTTGCTATTATGTCTCGGACAGCAGGTTTCAGCTCAGATAAGATACACTGTTCCAGAGGAGGTCAAAGAGGGAGCGATTGTGGGAAATATTGCAAAGGATTTGGGTTTTGATGTCAGTGCTTTGATGGACAGGAGGTTCCGTATTGTTTCTGGATCAAATGACGCCCTTTTTCAGGTAAATCAGAACAATGGCATCTTGTATGTGGATAAGCTTATCGACAGAGAGGCGCTATGTGATGGAACTGATGCTTGTTTGATAAGTCTAAAGACAGTTGTTGAAAATCCTCTTGAAGTCCATTATGTAGAAGTTGAAATTACCGACGTAAATGATCATGCACCAGTTTTTGCTGATAAAGATGTGCTGTTAGAAATAGCAGAATCAACCCTACCGGGTGAAGACATTCAGTTGCAGGAAGCACAGGACCCTGATGCCGGCGTGAATTCTGTTCGTTTTTATAAACTGAGTCAAAATGAATATTTTGAACTTGAGCTTCGGGAAAACGGAGGAGAGAAAAAAATCCCAATCTTAAAATTGCGTAAATTACTTGACAGGGAGCGTCAGGTAACTCACAGTCTTATACTGACCGCTGTTGACGGTGGGAATCCGCCACGATCAGGGAGCATCGTTGTAAATGTCACGGTGCTGGATGACAATGACAACAGGCCAAAATTCAGTCAAGAACTTTATTCTGTCACATTGCAAGAAAACGCTCCTGTTGGTACTCTTGTCATTAAATTAAATGCCACTGATTTAGATGAGGGTCTGAATGCCGAAATAATTTATTCATTTATTAAAAATATTGAAAGACTAGTTTACACCACTTTTGATTTAAACAGTAATACAGGAGAAATTCGGGTAAAAAGCAATGTGGATTTTGAGAAAAACGATGTTTATAGAATTAGTGTTATAGCGTCAGATAAAGGCCAGCCACCGAAGACAAGCAACTGTAGAATTATAATTAAAGTGATTGACGAAAATGATAATGGACCAGAGATAGACATTACCTCACTGTCTGATGTAGTTCCCGAAGATTCCAAACCAGGAACGGTCATTTCACTTGTTAGTATTACCGATAAAGATTCTGGCGTCAATGGCAAAGTTGTTTGTAGAATATCTGACAACGTTCCATTTGAACTAAAGCCGTCATTCAAAGATAATATGTACTCTCTTGTGACGAATGCAAAGTTGGATAGAGAGCTCGTTTCTCGATATGATGTCACAATAACAGCCACAGACCTTGGTCAGCCTCCTTTGTCCTCTATCAAAACATTAAAAGTGCAGATATCAGATGTGAACGATAACGTTCCAGAATTTCCTCACAATCCTTTAGAACTGTATTTAATGGAAAACAACGCTCCAGGAGCATTCATATACTCTGTTAGCGCCTTCGACAAAGACATGAATGAAAATGCAGCAATTACCTATCAAATAATTAGAGAAGATGGAGCAAAAAGTCACCTGTCGTCCTTCCTTAATGTGAACTCAGACAATGGACATATCCACGCGCTTAAAAGTTTCGACTTTGAAACTCTTAAAACGTTCCAGTTCCATGTTCTCGCCACAGACTCTGGAAGTCCGTCTCTGAGCAGTAACGTGACAGTGAACGTGTTTATTCTGGACCAGAACGACAACGTTCCAGTGATCTTATATCCAGTCAGCGCTAACGGTTCTGCTGAGGGTGTGGAAGAGATTCCCCGGAATGTGAACGCTGGTCATTTGGTGACTAAAGTCAGAGCCTATGACGCAGATATAGGATACAACGGCTGGTTATTGTTTTCACTGCAGGAAGTGAGTGAGCACAGTCTCTTTAGTTTGGACCGCTATACAGGACAGATAAGAACCCTTCGCTCATTCACAGAAACAGACGAGGCCCAGCATAAACTGCTCATACTGGTCAAAGACAATGGGAACGTTTCACTCTCAGCAACAGCGACTGTGATTGTCAAAGTTGTGGAGCCCAAAGAGGCTTTTGCAGCTTCTGATGTTAAAAACGCAGTAAAAGACGAGGAGGAAAACGACGTGACATTTTATCTGATCATCACTTTGGGCTCGGTTTCAGTGCTTTTTGTCATCAGCATCATCGTGTTGATTGTGATGCAGTGCTCGAAATCTACAGACTATTCGTCCAAGTATTTACAGGACACAAATTACGACGGGACTCTGTGTCACAGCATCCAGTACAGATCTGGAGACAAACGGTATATGTTAGTTGGACCTAGAATGAGTATCGGCTCTACAATAGCGCCAGGCAGTAATAGGAATACTCTAGTGATACCAGATCGCAGGCGGAGAGATTCTGGAGAGGTAAGGATATTCAGTTATTCATTATTATTACGCTCACCGTTTTGCCTTGCATATTTTTTTTTATTATTCGTTATTATTGTAATTTCTGCAAAATCCTATGCGTTTACAGATTTGTTATGTCCTTACACAAAACTTGTTTAGTACTTTGACAACTTTGTCTGGTCATATTGTAACAGCTCGATAGGAGCTGTTCTCTGGGTTGGTGCTGAAATTAAATGCAATTCATTGAGAATTTTTCCAAGGGGTGAATTAAAATGTTTTTAAACATTTGCCACTTGCATATGGCGCTCGTTATCGTTTTATGCTCCGTTTTTACATGGATGTTTTATTTGTTTATAAAATATAGGGATACTGCATTTACATTTTCAAGAAATAGCGGGCACTTATTGCTCTTTCAGCATGACATATAAATACACATGAAGGGTTTAGTTCCATGATATTCAAGATAATGTTCTCAAAAATGTTCCACGAGTTATTTCAATAGATCGATGGGTTGTGTGATGGAATTGTTGCTGAGTTGATACGTATAAAGCTGTTGTTAAATCATCGAAAAAATTATTTAGCAAAAAACAGATTTTCCCTGCAAGTTTCTAGAAGGAAATGATGGCATGGCATGCAATCCGTTTGATTTCGTAAATTGAACTAAACTGATCTAATTTAAATGAGGTAAATTTCCTTTTGATTATTAGTAAATTTCCTATTGATTATTAGTTGTTTATAATGGTTATCATCGAAGCAGAGACAGGAGGACGATGGGCGTTTAATGCACTTAATGCTGGAAAAAGGTGTTTCTGTTGTTTGTTTTTGTAATACAACATTTCCACAGACGAAATACACAAGTAAAGTCGCATGCAAGGTCGCTTCAGCTTTTAAAAAAAGAGAACAACACGTTTTTATTTGCTATTTCTGGATTCTTATATAGTTTTTGCTTATATGCGCCATTCTTCACAAACCTCATGGTGTCATTGTTGTACAGGGAAAGCGTCTATTCGCCCTGCCCCCCATATTCTAGTTTGCATTTGCAGGTTGTTCAACGCAAAAAGAGGATGATATTTGTTTGAAGACGGACAAAGACAGAACTGCGTAATGCCTTTCCGTGCTTTACTTTAGCTTGTTCGGTTAATATGAATCTATAGGCTATTTATAGTGGCATTTACTTCTGGATTTCGCTATCGTTCAAAATGGATGCTGGAACACAAAGGTGCAAAGGGGAGCACTGGTGGATGATTATCTGTTTTCTTCTGTGCTTTGGACAGCTGCTTTCAGCTCAAATAAGATACTCTATTCCAGAGGAGGTCAAAGAGGGATATGTTGTAGGAAATATCGCCAAGGATTTGGGACTTGATGCGAGCACTTTGATGGACAGACGGTTCCGTATCGTGTCTGGATCAGATGACGCGCTTTTCGTGGTAAATCAAAACAATGGTGTCTTATATGTTCAAAGGAAAATTGACAGGGAGAAGCTGTGTGATAGTGTTGGAGCATGCTTGATTAACCTTAAAATAGTGGTGGAAAATCCACTCGAGATCCATTATATCTCCGTTGAGATAAATGATGTTAATGATCACGCCCCTACATTCACAGAAAAAGAAAAGATATTAGAAATTTCAGAACACACGTTTCAAGGAACGCGTTTTCAGCTGCAAGCTGCGAATGACCCTGATAGTGGAGTGAATTCTGTGCGCTTGTATAAATTAAGTCAAAACGAGCATTTTGATTTAGAAATAAGAGACAGGGCAGAAGATAAACTGCCTTTTCTGGTTTTGCAAAAGCCCCTTGACCGTGAGCAAAATGCTAAACACAGTATAATATTAACAGCAATAGATGGCGGCAATCCGCCTAGATCAGGATCGCTAAACATAACAGTACTTGTTCTTGATGTGAATGACAACCGCCCTGTGTTTAGTCAAGATGTTTATTCTTCAACACTGCATGAAAACGTGCAAAATGGAACTTTGGTAATGAAAATTCTTGCAAGTGATTCTGATTACGGTCCAAATGGTGACGTGACTTATACCTTTGGAGGGGCAAACAACCAGAATATTTTTAGCTTGGATAGATTAACTGGTGAAATTCGTGTTATAGGAGAGGTGGACTTTGAAAAGAATAATGTTTATAAGTTGGATATACAGGCATCTGACAATGGGCAACCGCCTTTGACCACTGACTGTCGAGTCATTTTAAAAATACTTGACATAAATGATAATAAGCCGACCATAGAAGTGACGTCATTATCGAAGATCGTGCCTGAAGATTCCAGGCCTGGTACTGTAATCTCACTCATTAGTGTTACTGACAGAGACACTGGTGTTAACGGAAAAGTTGTGTGCACTCTCTCAGAAAATGTTCCATTTGAAGTAAAACCATCAGTTCAGGACAACATGTACTCCTTGGTGACTAAAGGAGTCCTGGATCGAGAAACTGTATCACATTATGACATTACAATAACAGCGATGGACTTGGGTCAGCCTCCACTGTCCTCCT